CACGTTCGCGTTATGTATTGAGTATTGACTATTGGCTATTTTATTGAAGAAGCCAAGGTTGTCGACCTTTTAATTCGTAATTGTTTCAAATTTTATTACCGATTAATTAAAAACCGCGGCATTTTTTAAATGCGAATTTGAATTTCAAAGGCGTTCTAACGGCTCTTTTCGGTTCGCCTTATCACGATATTTGAATTTGTCGGGCCGAAAATAGACCTGTTCGAGTCGTTATTTAAATGTTTGTACCATTTTCGTGTAGGAAGTATGAAATAATTATCGGGCGAGTTTTCTCGCTTTGTAGAACTAATAATTCCACCCTTTCTGTGGGAAAGGAAAGGATTTATACCTTCTTCAAAAAGTGTGGCGTTTACTTAACTTAATAGCTTATTAGTTACGATGGGAGAATTTCTACATTCAACAATGGACGATTTTTTCCGAGTTTCCGCAGTCGAAAAAAAAGTCGACAGTTCGACGATTCTACACCGTTAACTCGACTAAAAAAATCGTCACATCTATGTGGAAATGCGACGATTAAAAGTTAAGAGCCATGAAATTGTTTATCATCATTTAAACTATACTCACAATACCATAATCGACGATGTTATTGTCTGTTGAGTCGGGTTACAACTTTTTAAAACAACTTTTCGGAAGGTCGACGACCGCTAATTTCGCGCAAAAAAACGCAATCTTAGAGATTAAATAATTATCAGGATACGTAAACGTTACGAATAAACGAAGGATTATTATTAATTTTTTTATCTTTTCATAATAAAGATTGCGATATTGTCTCAAGAGGCGGCGGAAAAAAACAATTTAAATTTGTTGTTTGCGGCATAGACTGGTTTCGATTCTCGAAAAGGTCGATTTTAATTACCTAGAGTTTTTGATGCAAAAAAAGTAATTAGCTTATAAACGAGTCAAAGACATCGCTTTCCTCTCGTAGAAATCCCTTGTAAAATATACCGATTATTCAAATAAAAATATTATATCACAGAAAAATGCCGATTCGAAATGAAGTGAATCCATTTTCCGGTTATATACATACAATAAACGCGCCGTGAGTTTCCGAGAGAAAGCTCCTAATTGAAAATTCCCATATTTTTTTCCCAATATCAGGCAATTTCCTGGGCCAAAGTGGCAATATCAAAGGAGCAAAATTATTAAAAAATCCATTCCCTACAAGTTTAAATTTACTTTCCCCCGCTAGTATTAAAGTTTTTTTTCTGCATCTCTTTCATCCAGCACTGGCGGGGTTGCCAATTTTGCGCACGTGTGCCTCCACCGGAAAACTCTCTACGCTGTTGCTATTTCCATTTTTTTCCTTCCTCGGGAGTGAAATTTAATGTTCGATAAGACGTGCCGTAAATAGAAAATATTTCCGAAAAATATGATCGACTCGATTTTGATGAAAACGTTACGCACGAAAAATTTCGATATCGGGATGTCTGGGGAGATGTATTGGGAAGTGTAACGGAAAAATTATTTTTTATGCCAGGTAGGAAGTTTGTAAGGTGGATCCTTTTTGGGTCACGTACAAAATTGAAAAAAATCCCTTTCAATAGAAAAAGTGGGTATATTTTAGCCTTAAAAAATTCGCTCGGATTTTCATTGCGAGAAAAACCTCCCCGTCGAAAATAATAAAGAATGAAAGTTTCCGAACTTGTGACCGGAATAACGTACGCTATACAGTTCCGGAAACGTCCGGTTATCGTTTCCATTTTAATACACCCACTATTCGTATAGAGGCACAATAAATTATTTAAAAAAAAAATCATTCCTATAAGCGATAACAACTATATTAAAGTAGGTAATAATGATTATGTTAAGTGTTATTTGGATCGTTATTCCAATCGCAGCCTATTAGATAAAAAAAATCGTTGTTAATAAACAAATGAGATCATTTCTGAAAATACACCAAATCTAGAATCTCCAGAGATAAGATAGAAAAATGAAATTCTCAAATGTGCACTACAATACACGAATTAATCAAAGTATAAAAAAGTAAACGAGACTAACTGTCAAGGTTATCTCGATAGTCCACAAGTAGAAAACCTGTTATTCCAGTTGATTACTAGAGATGGGAAACTTATCTTCCCTACTACAACACCACAAGGGTTTAAATCACTAACTAATTCACCTACCCCGGTAGGTATGCTAATTGTTCATACGATGGAAAGTCGATAAATAGTTTTATACAAGTATAAATGTTACTAATAGAGGCGTTTTAGTACAAGTTCCATCTCTACAAATCGGATAGTTTCCACAGAAACTGAGATGGATTTCTCGCTGTGAGTCAGAATAGTGTATCGACCTTGAAAACGCACCGCAAAACAGCTGATCGTCGAGATTCTCACACAAAAACACACGCACACAACATGTGCGATACAAATGAACCGAGCTGTGTACAGAGACAAAAAAAAATTAATACGAGAGGATGTCGAGCGCAGCGTACAAACAAATTTCCATATTTCTGTAATAACAACTTCCACGGAATCGTTAGGTGTCTAAGAACCCGTTGATATTCAAATTTCTCTCGAGGATTCGCGATTTTGACGGACAGTCACCGTCCCAATTAGCTCGACGACGGGGATCTTTTAATTTTTCGGTGGAGACGTCTTCGACCGTTTCGACGTGTAATTAAAGAGACCAACAGAAGAAAAAAAAAAAGGTCGGAATTACTACCGTTCCCACACAGGCAGGTAGGTAGGTGGTTAACCCAAAATTTGATATGGGTCAGACAACGCAGGCTCTCCGGGTAAAATATTCCGAACCGGCCCTCTGGCATATTCTTCTTACTAAACAGAAGATTATTCGAAATTTCTCGATTAATTAATATACGAGTATTAATGTTTTAAATGTAATTAGATATCTACTTGACACAAACAGGAAGATTTTGCGGTGAATTTACGATTGTTCGTATCTTTATAACAACGATTTTGAATAATCGCTTTTGTAATGTATAAACGTTTCAACAGGTTTGATGGAGAAATCGAGCCGGGAAAAATCGCGGACTTCCTCGTTGTGATTTCGATGATTTAAAAACGCGATGACATCAGTTTACACTGGCGTTGCGTACGATTAAAATAGACATCGGCCGGGCGTACCTGGTAATCGAAAAAGATTCGATTTTTCATGCCAAACTGTACCGAAACCGTTGGCTCATCGGAAATTTTTTTGGCAGTAATCGCTCCACTATTTTTGCGTTTCGTTCGAAATTTTTCACACTACGAATTATGATCCTTATACAATACGAATCGACATACATATGTGTGTATCTATTTTTATTTTTAATACTGTTAGTACTACATATGTTGTGTTTTTCGTCTACATCGTCTTTTCGATTGCGCAATTTCGAGTGATTAAAATCCCGCTGTTTCGAGGTTTATTAGATATCAATTTTTATGACGTTCGAATATTAATTTCGATAGATATTCGTAGGGACGGATTGTCTGCCGGCAACCGCACGATATCACCGTTAACTGATAATATAATTACACAGCGAATGATTACAATAGCTACACGAAAATATCACATACTTAAATAATAATCCGAGCAGAATTGTTTCGTCGAATTGCACAAGATTCTAATTAAGTCGACTTTTGTATTTTCCACTTAACGGCATTAAATTCGAAAAAAAACATTACTATTCATGAGTTTATCACGCTATGTTTGCCCTTTCGCAATTTTTAAATCACGAAACGAAACCAATCATATGTTATTAATGATTTAGAAACACCAGGTAGGAGCTTTCATTAGGCGAATTTGCATCACATTTAATTTGCAATATAATGTTAATTTATAAAATAGAAACTCGGTAAAACGGTACACGCACATAAAGGGTCGTCTAATAAATAAATCTACAATTATATTGTTGATAACCCGAAATTCGTTTCCTCGTCAATCGAAGCAAATATGATGTCTATTTTTAAAATTTTATACGCACTTGCACGCGCGAAATTTCGCACATCGATATACGAAAAATATTTTGTCGCGTTTTTATTAATGTGCCTGACAAGTCAACGAACTGCTCTTCCTCTTTTATTGTAAATAAAATCCGAAATAAGCGTGATCTCACGAAGTATTAGAAAATGTTAACGTAAATTTAATCGAGAGCGCTTGTTTATTTTTTTATTTTCGATTTTTTTAGAGACGATTTTAATCGGTCAATTCTAAGATCGTATTATCTTAATTGTTGATAATTAAATTAGGTGAGATTTGAATGTGTTGTAGGTATATTGCGAAATTTTTGATGTGTAGGAGAATTATTCAACAGGTTAGAAATTTAATAGAAATAGGTGTTGGGAGTATTGATTTTTTTAAGTGCAATTATATTTGTAATGCAAATAAATAAACAGATTGCAATATAAAAAATTCAGAGTAAAAAGTATTCAACAGGTTTTTTATGTATTTTTTTGTGCACTATTTCCGGAACTTTTAACTTTCCCGTTGGAGTAAACAAACGATTTAAAAAAAAGTAAGTATAGATAGCAAGCTTATAATAATTTCAAAATGCGATATTTCGCAATAGAAAAGTGAGAAAAAATAGGGCCGATGTAGCAACGCGAAAAAACAAACAACTCTCCGAGATTCGCTCGTTAAAATTTCTGAAAACATTAAATAACAAACAGCAATGCGAGATTAAATATTTCGAAGCGTTGCCACATCGAGAGGCGAATAGGAAACGAAACTACATTACGTTATCGAGGTGTTCGATTGATAAACGGCGAAAAAAAAACCGCCTTCCTCATTACCGGAGCAGGAAACAATAATAAATCCGCGATTTGGCAAGTCTGTCGAAGGTCAAGGTACTAATAAAATTTAATTGCACCGCGCGTTCCGTTCGGACAAACGATCAATTTTCACAAACACTTTTTTTTCGGAATATAAACTAACAAAATTATCATACCTGCATCGTGATTATTAATAAAAACGTTATCCAAAATAAACACAGAAACCACTGCACAGTGAAAGAAATATTATGATAAAAAAATCCGACCTACCTGAGTAGCATCAGAGTAGGGTGTCGTCGAATTTTTGTCAACCATTTGCGATCCAAAAACGGGTTGACCACTTAGGGAAGGCGTATCGGACCGAGTGTCCATACTTTGCGGCAACATATCCAAAACAATTTTCGCCGGAAAAGTAAAATCGAATCGCCGCACACAAAATCAAAAATAATAATAATCACCCACTAGGACTCGCGCTCGACTGGGCCGCCTCTTCAGCAGGAGAAAACGATATATCTGTCTAAGTCCTCAAGTGCCAGGCACCCGGCTAGCTTAGCATATTATCTCCACGTTCTCCTTATGGCGAAACGGAGTAAACTGACAACTTGATGTTTTGAGTTTCAGTTTGTATCACCGCTCAGCTGTTGTGCCCCCCCACCTCGTCGCCCTAAGTGGGGCTAGGCATGCGCTGAATTTGAATCGGGTATCCCGTACAGCTGATGCGACCCGACGTATTTATTTATTATTATTATATCTTCTTATTCCGCACTTGTGTGTGTGTGCTCCGCGCTTATCCCGGACACTTTTCTCCCTACCTTTATCGTCTCTATCACTACCACCATTCATCGATAAATCCTATTTTTTTCCTAACAAGTCTTTTTTCTTCATACAAAAATCATTCGCGACTTTTAATCTTTTAATTCAAACGAAACTAAAATAAAATAATATGCGAGAGGGAAAATACTTCGCTCAGGGTTGGTTGGTATTTGATTTTTTTCGAGGTGAAAAACGGGAAACTCTTGCACCGCGCGACGCCAGCGAGTTACTGAAATCGCTGAAAAACTGAAGCGCTTCGGACGCGCCGGTGCCCCTACCACCAGGAGCGCCGCTGGTTCGGCGAGCGGCCGGCGGCGGCGCCAGTTGCTTGTCTCTGCTCCGGTGCGGCCCGGACTCCGGTTCGCTTCAGCGCCGAAGGGGGCGCCAGCTCGCGGCTTCAAAGGGAATCCTCCAACGTTCTATATCTTACTGATCGTCTTGCGATAATTGATTTCGCGGTTGCATGATGATAATTCTGCGCTTTTTTTTAGTTAAAAAGCGACTTTAATGTTGTTGAAAAGTTTCAATCGGAACTATCAATATTCTTTCTTAGCCCTTTTTTGATCACTCCTGGACGTAAACCTTTTTCGAATCTCTCCATACTTCTCTAATCTGAACTATTTGAAACATTCTACAATATTTACAATCTTCAATTAATCTTCTATAATCTTCTACAATCTTCCAACTCCCAGAATTTCCTAAACCTCTACTCCTCTAGGTACTCCTCTACACTTTTAATTCTATATTCTTCTAAAATTTTCATGCCTTTTTAAACCTTTGGGTTATTCTTCTTTTAACCTCGTCTACAACCTTTTACCAACCTTCTGCAATCTACTATCAACCTTCCACAACCTTTTTCAACCGTCTACCAATCTTCTATCAACCTTGTACAACCTTCTACAAACTATTATCAACCTCATACCAATTTTCAATCAGTCTTCCACCAATTCACTACCAAACTTCTGTATGAATCTTTTACAACCATCTACAACCTTTTTACAACCTTTTGTCATATTTTACAACCCTTTACAACCTTCTATGCAACCTACTACAATCCAAACTTTCGAATTATTACAGTAATCTTATGAAAAATTGGTGTTATTTCGTTGGTAATATTATGTATAGCAAATAAATCGATGGGTTTTTTGCGGGTTTAATTCCGGATGTGGAATTCGGTTCGGAATCGTCGGGCGTGTATATAGTATATAAGGATGTGGATGTTACTTAGAAAAGGCGTCGTCTGTGCGGGTTAGTTTCGCCGAAGGAAATAGAAATGGAAAACATTGCGACAAAGTCGTGCGTACTACGACACTTAAATTATTCATGAAAATTCAAATGAATCAGGTAATATTGGGAATTCGATTGAATACCAAATACCGTCGCATTTGCGGAATTAAAACATTTTTTTTTTATTTTGGTGGGTTCTTGTGTCGTTAATTCCCCGGTTATTTTTAATCCGGCGTTAGTCGAAGCGTTATTAGAAGGGACTTGTATTAATTGCATTTCGCCCGTAAATAAAACCGCTTCGTATTCGACGTCAACAATTAGGGCTAAATTAACGTAATGGCATTTATTCCCGACTCGAAATGTCCTAAAACTCATTTTTTACCATTCACCGCTAGTTGTAACAGCTGCAGCGTTATTTATTATCTAAATAAACCAATAAAAATTTCAACGAGTTTACCTAACATTTACTCAAAAAAAAATGGTCCTCATCTTAAAGCATTCAATTAGCGTTTGAAATCATCTACCAGATCGTTGTCCTCTTTATTCCTGCAATTATAATGAATTAGGCGGAAATTCCTGAAGGTCTGGCGATTTTTCGATAACCGAAAATCCCGCGGTTCATCGTAATGCATAATTTTTTTTTGTATTTTTTGCATTTGGAAAATTTTCCGCCCATACGTCAATGAGGAAAAATGCATAACAATAACACGCACTGTGTTGTTTCGGGCTATAAATGAATCAGTGATGACATCTGTGGATGAACTATTCCTGGCAAATATTTTGAACCCTTCGCATCGGGCCGAAACCGGTTTGAAAAAAATACCGATCGGTTACGGGGAGTGACGCACTGAATTCCTGCAGAGTAATGTTTGCCACATCTTTATTGTTTTCCAGGCGATTTAAATCGCGATAATATAGAAGGGAAAATAGCTGAAATTTCTTAATACCAACCTATACAGGCTTAGATACCGCGCTTTTATCATCGGGCTTAGTATAAATGCGATATAAAATACCTTCAAAGAAAATTTCTTGAGAAAAAAACCATTAGAAGGATTGTTCTGAAGACAATTTCTTTAATTAAATCTATTAGCAAAAAATCCATAAGTTGCACGCGGTGAGTTTGGAAACCATTAATGGAATTCCGCATAATTAAAAGTATTCTACCCACTTTGAATATATTTTTTTTTATCTATAATAGGTAATTTAACCATTTAAGGTACTGTAAATTTTAAATACAAATGTTTCTAAATGCCTCTGTCGGCCTTCGGGCGAGTAATGGCCAATTGTAAATTTATTTATAATACTTCCTCCTGTTTATAACCCGGAGAATTCGTAACACAAACCCGACACTATAATCTCCTGTTTGTTTTCCAACACTATACCTGCTAATTGGGCAGTTAAAATTAATGAGAAACTAATTTTTTCCTAATATTAGATACAATTTTGTATCCTATCCAGTTTACCACGTCGCTTTTTTGTGAAAGATTTATATAATTCATAGATACATACTATTTAATTTGCACTATAATTACATCCTCATAAATAACCATAATTTGCGCAAAAATTAGCCAAAATAAATTCATAAACTTCCAGACTGTAATAAAACGAAATGTGCAGGTACATTCTAAACAATAAAATCTTTTTACAAGTTAACTATCGCGAAAATTAATCCGACAGATAAGCGTTAAGTATACCTACAACATTTTTATTGCTAGGCGTTTATGAATAAAAGCTAAAACAGCAGATAATGCGAGGCAACCTTGAATTTTTAATCGTTTTTTGCAACTGCACCGCCACTGGACGGAATTCTATACGAAAAAAAAAATATGATTGTAATTTTCCGCGGCGTGTACGTAGACTGCGTGACTCCGAATAAACCGACTGCTTACCTACTCGACAATTATTTACCAGACAACAAATTATTTCGTCGTTTATCTATACCCGTAATTTTTTTCCTGTTTTTTTATTTTTTTTTACCATCGACGAATAATAAATTCGTTGGCCCTTTTTCTGGCGTCTCAATCAACGAGTCGATCATCGACGGTCGCGGATTTATTTTCGCGCATAGTATTCAAATCGATGCTGCCTCTCGACGAGATATAATAATCGTTTTTTATCGAAAATTGTGGAAACGAGTATTTTTAGCGGGTATCACGATGCACTTCTATCAAGGCCGCATTAAGGTTGCCCGGCCTTATCAGCGCGCAGTACAGCAGGAAAAAAATATATACCGCGATAAGGTCGATCTTTCTCGCTGGAAATTTTCTGCACGCGAAAGCCCACTAGCGTCGCAATTATGCGTTATTAAAACCGATTGCGGCGATTTTTTCTAGCTTCATACAGGGCGAATAAATTGTAACGATACGAAATAATATCAAGGTGGAAGGTGCTCGACGGGGAATCGAGTCATTTCTTTACGGAATTACGTAATTTCTCATTTCGAATGCAAATTGAATCGCTAACCTATAATTATGCGTAAAAAAAAACAATATTGTTAATTGACATAGTTATCAGTCAAGGTCTGAAAAAATTGCAGCGTATCCTATAATTTTCGCGGGTTGATATCTTGACGTGTACCGGGCAATTCGTCCGGTTCAGGCACGAGAGCAATTATAACAACTTAGTGGCGAATCGACGACAAAATTAACAAAATGCTAGTCGCGATAAACCGGTTTTAATAACCCAAAAAAATCCATAGAATTTTTTCACAATAGGATTCGAATGAGATCATACTTTATAAGTAGGTAATAATTATCTATTAATAATTGCAGAGGACAACATAATTCGAAAGTGAAATAATAGACTATTATTCAATGAGCGAGCAAATCTATAATACTATAGGTCAGTAGAATATACTATTTTGTATACGACTTGTATCCTCTAGATTTTCTTGATAGGTACATTATAGTGCTTATTTTTATTGTGAAAACGCCATAGTAACAACATTTTTTCCGGAGCATTAACCAAGTGTTGCATTTTATTCAATTTTTTTACGCGAATCCATTATAACAAAACATAACCTATAATAAAGTCACCCTTTTGCATTCGAATAATACGAGTTTTTAACTATGTGAACTCTCTCTCCCTATGTATCCTACGGGTATAAATAAAATTATAATCCTTATCGGCTACGTGTATTATTAATAATGCTTTTCGCGTTTCGTTATCTTAATTTTCTTACACGGAATATGGCATATTTTCAACGGAAAATGTGGGGCCTCCACCGTAACTTTATCATTCAATAATTGTAGTAATTACTGCATTTCATGAGCTTAGTATTATCACTTACGGAATTATACATGTTGGTAAATGTGTAGGTATTAAAACAAAACGGGGGCTACACGATAAGTTTGTTATATTAAAAAAAATTCTTCATGTATACCTACTTTTATATTTATATTGAAGAAAAATTGGCTATTAAGGGAGACGATTTCTGTTGTAGATTAGTGTAGGTAGTCGATAAATTTTTCTGTAGGTTTTTCCATGGAACAGGAAAGAGTTACGACTCCCCGTATGTTTTTGATTTGTAACGTTTTTTTTGTCGCGTCGTTAAGGCGATAAAACTTACAAAGTGCGTATTAATTGTCGCAGGTTCGAGAAAAAAAAATTGCCGTACACTGATGACCCTAATAAAAGTAATATGTGGGTAATTATAGAGGTTCCGAGTTGATAGGACGAACTACATAGGGAAAACACGGCGAAAACGTCGACTCGTTCAGGGACGTATTTTTTATTTATTTTTTATCAAATTTACACCTTCAACCTGTATATGATACAGTCGATGTGACCTTCGATTTCGAAAATTTTCCGCTACCCAATGTTACTTTTATAACGAGCTTTTCCGGCGAAATGTTCGTGTACCTCGACAATGGGGGAAACTTTTTTATTAAAACAAAAGTGCAATAATTATTAATAAACTGTTCCAGGGGTTCGAGTAACGCGTATAAAATAAACTTAACCGGTAGATATATAGATATACACATTGTA